ATCCCAGCACCCACATGGCAGCTAACAACTGTCCATAACTCCAGTTCCAGGGGATCCAACAGCCTCTTCTGACCTCTGCGGGCATTGCATGACATGGGTGCAATTACCTACATGCAGGCAATACATGCATACACATAAAAATAATATAAAAATTTTTTTGAAGTTCAAAAAAAAACAAATATAACCATGGATTACCTTAAAACATAAAAGGGGACAATCCCATCACTCGGGAGGCTGAGGTAGGAGGACCAGAACTCTGAGGCTAGCCTGAGCTGCACAGCAAATGACTGAGAGAAATGGAGGAAGAGACAGAAGATGAGATGGAGGAGGAAGGAGATGAAGACAGAAGAAAGGAGGGGAAGGAAAGAGAAAAGTGGGCTTCTGTAATTTTTATTACCACATAAATGTTTTTAAATTTCCCCTGGACTGGTGGTACAGACTTGTGATCACAGTGACTCGGGGACTAAGGCAAGAGGACTGGAGTTCAGACTAGCACGTGAAACGCTTAGTAAGACGGCCACCAGAAAGAAAAGAGAACAAAAAAAGAGCTAAGATGTAAGTCTGTGGTAGACAGCTCATCTAGCATGTGTGAGGAAGGCCCTTGATCCCCAGTAACCACACATACACTCATGCTGCCTTGGGTCAAGCAATATTTAGCCCCCATTTGTCCTGTAATGTTTCATGTGAATTGTAAATTCTGAACTTTAAATATTACCTCTGAGCTCAGGGCCAAGCCTCCTTTACATAGCAGGTTCCAGGCCAGCCAGGGTTATACAGTGAGACCCTGTCTCAAAGGAGAAACAAACAAACAAACAAACGAACAAACAGAGTTTGAAGCCAGATATCCCACAAAGTTAGACAATGACAGTTCTAGAAGTAAACAAAACCCCAGAAAACCCCAGTGTCAGATGCAGGATATCCACATAGGAGCTGTTGTTCAGGAAGCCCCAAAGACTCCCCTACCCCAAAAAACAGTGCAGGCTCCTGCCATTTCTCTTGGTTGCACAACAGAAATAGTTGCTAAGACTAGAGTGCTGAAGACTCCACACACCTACGACATTAGATATATATAATACGAGGCTGGAACTGAGTTGGAAGCATCCTCCCTGATGGCTACCTTTCACGGTGCCAGATGGTGCTATGCAGTCTGCTGGGGAAATAAAGGCATGAACAGTCTTACCCAGATGTAAACCCTATGAGCTACAATATCACCCTGCCAGGCAAGATGTGCCCATAGATGGAATAGTGGCACAACTGTTACAGAGGTAACAACCACTCCCTGCCTGGATTTGAGGTCTGCTTCACAAGAAAGA